TAGATAATATAACTATTTGTGGTGAAAACACAGAACAACATGCAAAAAATCTTGCCCGGTTCTATGAAGCATCCAGAAAATATGGGCTAACATTCAATGAGAATAAAAGTGTTATTGGCGTTAAACAAGTAAAACTTCTAGGCTATGAAGTTTCTCATAAAATGATCAAACCTGATCCCGATAGACTTCAAGCATTATGGAATTTATCACCTCCACGAGATCTTAAATCCCAACAGCGAGTCATTGGTCTCTTCGCGTATTATTCACAATGGATATCTCATTTCTCCGATAAAATTCAACCCCTTATACAAAATAAAATCTTTCCATTACCAGGTACTATTGTAAGCTCATATGCAGCATTAAAAAATGAACTTGCTCAATCTGTGATGACTACTGTGGATCTCGACTTGCCCCTTATAGTGGAAACCGACGCTTCGGATACTGCTATAGCTGCTACGTTAACACAAAATGGTAGACCCGTTGCATTTTTTTCCAGAACACTATCACCAAGTGAACGGCATCACTCAGCGGTGGAGAAAGAAGCTTATGCCATCGTCGAAGCTATTAGAAAATGGCGTCATTATTTACTTGGTACTCATTTCCAACTCATTACAGACCAACGATCAGTTTCTTTCATGTACGATATGAACCACCATGGGAAAATAAAGAATGACAAGATTCAGCGTTGGCGAATAGAACTTTCTTGTTACAGTTTTGATATAATCTACCGTTGTGGCAAAGAAAACAAAGTCGCCGATGCATTATCTCGCGGATATTCTGCTTCTGTCATGGGTGAAACTAATCTGAAAGACCTACATAACTCTCTGTGCCATCCAGGAGTTGTTCGCCTTCTTCACTTTGTGCGTTCTAAGAACCTACCTTTTTCTGTTGATGATGTGAAGAGGACGATATCTAGTTGTGCAGTTTGTGCTGAGCTGAAACCCAGGTTTTGCAAAGTATCCACAGGAAATCTTATTAAAGCGACTTCTCCTTTTGAACGTCTAAATATTGATTTCAAAGGACCTCTTCCTTCAAACTCCCGGAACAAATATCTTCTTACGATAATTGATGAGTACTCTAGATTTCCGTTCGCTTTTCCTTGCCAGGATATGACAGCATCAACTGTTATTAATTGCCTGTGCCAGTTGTTTTCTCTGTTTGGTATGCCATCCTACATACATTCAGACAGAGGATCGTCGTTTATGTCTGCAGAATTAAAACATTTTCTCCACGATAAAGGAATAGTTACCAGTAGAACAACAGCATACAACCCCCAATCAAATGGACAGATTGAACGTCTCAACGGCACTCTCTGGCGATGTATATCACTAGCTGCTAAATCTAGGTCCATACCAATCTGTGAGTGGGAAGTTGTTCTCCCCGACGCTCTTCATTCTATCCGTTCTCTTTTATGTACTGCCACAAATACTACTCCACACGAACGGATGTTCAGGTACAATCGAAAATCAACGTCTGGTGTTTCTCTTCCCAGTTGGTTAACTATTCCTGGACCGGTCTTGATGCGCCGTAATGTACGTTCTAAATATGAATCTCCAGTTGATGAAGTTGAACTGATTGAATGTAATCCCAAGTATGCTCATGTGAGACTTCCAGATGGACGTGAGGAAACAGTATCTATTCATCATCTTGCACCAAAAGAACATATATTTCAATCGCCCGTTAGCATGCCGATTCCAGACGCAGTACCAGAATGCCTCCAAAATCAACTTACTGAAGACGACATATCGACCCGTTCTACAGATACTGAAACTCCTATTTTGACGGACAATTTAAGTGAAAATGTCAAAATTGATCCGAACCCATCTTCTTTACTAGAGAAACAACGAAGGGTTCGTCCATACAATCTGAGAAGCCGCGAAGTCTAAACAGTTTTAAAAGTCTTGACTCCTTATGCTCTGTATTCTCAAACAAAAGGGGAGAAGAATGTGGTGTGAACATTTTCATAAACGTTTAGCATTTATATTATACACTATTCACATCTTTCATTTTTGTTTAAACCAGATCCTATACTGGAATTATAAAACGAATAAAGCCTTTATTGCGGGCCCTCAGTATTCTCACTTGATCGGTGAATGTTTGATTAACTCATAAACACTACAGTGAGTGAGTTACTGCATCGTGTTTTGCAAATAAGTTTTGAATAAATATACCATGTAAAACAGCGCATACGTACGTAAATACCCTTTTTGTTGACATCCGGTGGAGATTTTGTCAGTTTCTCCCGTCGAAGTATTCGTTGACGTGGTGGAAAATGATTTAGGCTACTCATGTTCACTTACAGTCGAGGTGACGGTATTATACTCAAATACGTTTCACATTATTATCACGATTCGAATTGTTTGTGCAATTGTGATTCTTGGTCATATTCAGTTGGATGGATGGATGAGTGATGTGAATAATTGATTGATAAGGCAGGCAGGCATCTTTGACTATTTTGATTGTTCTCCACCTGATCAGAATTGTATTTTGATGAATTGTAGGCGTGGATTTGACCAACCGGTTAGTTAGGTTATGCCTGTCACATTTTCTGTGCAATTCATGTATCGTCGTCCGTCGTCTTAATTTCAACTTTATTGTATCCTTGACGGAGACTCGCATTTCCTCGACTGAATGTTAAACTGTCTACCTGCCTGCATGCCTGGCTGTGAGTAGTTATGACAGTGAGTAGTCGACTTTCATGACGTTTATTTTCTTATGCTGGCTGAATACATTGACAGACAGACAGAGGAAGAGAGAGAGAGAGAGATTGTATGTCCTGGAGGGGTGTTGAACATCATGCTTCACAGTGAGGGAGTTGGTGATGGTGATCATTATCATCATGATGATAATGATGATGAGAATACTCGTAGGATAGATAGATAGCCTGGTAGTACAGTGACACTCGGTATTATTTTCGTTGTCATTACTTTGGACTGTTGTTATATTACTATTGGATTATTATTTCATAAGTTACCTTACCATGGGTGGGGATTGGATTCCATGAGAATTTCGATGAGTTGGGGATGAGAATCGGATTGTTGGATTTCGTCGGTAAAGAGAATTCTCTCCGCTGAATTTGCTTGTCTTTTATTTTTCTTCATGACTCAATGGATATTTTCGTCGGTGACTTGAGGCAGAGAGGAGTAGAGAAGAACCCTATGACAGTGAAAAAACTTGGTACGTTTCTTCAGTTTCCTGTCATGCTTGCCATAGCAAAGACAAGACAAGAATCAGTTTTCTAAAGAGCTCTACTGATGATAAGAAAGAATATCCCAAGCACTACTGGAAAAGTGTCTTCGTCGCATTCATATCCATCCAAATCATCGCGCGTCATACTAAACGTCGTCATACGCTGCTGCTGCTCAATGTGGTCGATGAAATCAAATCTCGAATACCAGAGATGATAGAAAGAAACATTTCACTAAGAACACATGCTCTGCTCTATTCGAACTGACAGAAGACGAGCAGAGAAATTTTATGGACTACTACATCGATTCAGTTTGAAGAAGACTTTGTTCAGATGTAAACCTGAAACTCGCAAATCGTCGTCTCAAAGCTACTGACACCTACTCCCGTTTTCCTGCCACATCAGAGAAATACGTTTTCAACTAATCAGCCTAGTGTATCAATGCTCCTATCCAATTGCAAGCTTTGTCGGTGGGTCCAAAGTTATGTGATATTTCGAAGAATAATAATAATAATTGTATCCATGTAAACTTATGTGTTTAAATGCGATTGTACAGCTTTTGAGAATGAAATCGCCGAAAAGATATCTTTTCTGAACTTATTGGTCTCCCTTTCTCTCTCTTATATCCTGATGTGCATTTTCCAAGATTAGTCATTTTCTCGTACTTATTACGTCACCCCAACATCTGCCCCTTTCCTAATTTCCAATTAGTCATCCTCTTCTACATTACACATCACACTATGTAATACATTTCCGAGGACAAATTTTACCAGTATCCGATTGATCTTATGAAGTCTTTGTTAAATACAAATACGACTGTACATTTCATGAAAATGGATCGTCGAAATGAAAATTTTTTCGCCAGTTACATCTTTTTCTTATGACTCAATATGAGAATATTGCGTTCATTATGTAGTTAGGGCTTGGCCATTGATATGAATGTACCTGCACATGATCACATAATAGAGTCGGCTGGGTTAAAATTATTGAAAATTAATATAGTTATATGGAGAGAGAGAGAGAGGCTAGTTAGTGAACTTCCGTCCATCGAGTCAGTACCCAATGCATGTAATGGAAATTGTGCAACACGAGTTCTGGGTATATTGAAAATTGCAACAAAGAAAGTGGTGGAAGTGTAAAAGGTTCTTTGAAAAGATTGATATGAATATGGGAAATGAGTTGTTCTCGAAACGTTATTCAGTTATTCTTAGTATATATAACTGTGTGCTATGTTAAGTAAACTTATCTAGTTTTGTATTGTTGTTTACTGGCTATTGTATGCCTTTTTACTTGTATCTGTGTTTTACTGTTTGGGTGTTGCATCTCTGTGTGCTCATATTGTGTGAAGTTTATTTTTAAATTCAGCTGCTGAATTTCCGAATCCCAAACAACCATGAAATAATTTCAATGATGAATGGGTGACTGTATTCAACAAAAAGTACTAAAGCCTGTTAAAATATGGTAAAATGTTCATTCAATAAGTACTTTTGAAGACTGTCACCAGCTAATTAGTTTATGAGATGTTTTCATTCCTTTGCGTTTTGATTGGAACTTTGGTATTTTGAAACTGTGAGGTTACAGTAGCAGTGGTGTGGTTACTAACGGGTGAGATTTTCCAGCCTCATGGTTAATGTTTTTCATTGCTTTACCATCTAGTAATGTAAGCGATGTTTAGGAGTGAGTCGGCCAGAAATGAATTCTGAGGCTCTTTGTATCATATGACACACACGTTTTTCTTGCAAAGATACAATTTTAAAGAAATAATGCATTAAAAGCAAAACAATTACTTTAAAATGAAACAGTGACCACTTACTTTCATTATTCGATCCATTGCTTTGTCTTGAGACAAACCTGGTATTAAAAGCCAGAAGAATATAGCATAGTGATGTGGCTAAGAGTGCCCATTGAGATGCATCCAAACACCAAGATAGAAAGTCTGGAAATCTTGGAGTCAATAAAATTATCCAAATATAGTCCAGAATAAGCAGTGTTAAAAATATGAGGGCGAAAAAGGATCGGTATAATGTGAATGTGTTGCCACGACTAAGACATATGTACTGAAAAATGAAAGATCAAAAGTATAATGTAGTAAACTAAACAAGAAAGTGATGTACATATATGCTGTGAATAAGGAGGTAATTACCTTCACATACAGTTATAGTACTTTTGTGTAAGATTATGAAAAACCAGAATTCTTAAAATATACATCTTATGTAGCGCGATTACTTCATCTAGTATTTAATCTACACTTGTCTTGAAGTAATGCGACTGATAATACGAGACTAGAAAGAAAAACTACAGACATATTTAAGTGTAGACGGCGAAAGTATAGATAAAGCCTAAGCTGCAGAAAGATTCAAACCAAGTTTTGTCAAAACCCCATCCTGTTTATTTTAAAATATAACCACCCTTCCAGCATAAGATTAGTCTGTCTGCTTATGTATATATACATAGTTAACTAATACCTTTTGGCTCTCAATACTAACTACCTTTCTCATGAAAACACCCTACTAGTATCACATAAATTTAAATTTCTGGACTGAGCTCATTTAAACTACTTTGGAATAACAAACCTGAATTTAATTTATGCCTAAAAATGATACGGTTAGTAGAAAGACAAATCTTCAGTCGATTATTGGAGTACAGTTTTGAAAAAAGCAAATATCAAATTCACAGGTAACTTAATTTGATAAGTTTAACAATAAACATTTCTTGGTTTTTTACTAATTGGATTTCTTCAGTGTAAAACAGTCTAATGCTAATTGCAAATTATCAAAATCCATAGTTTTATAGAAACTAGTTCACCTTCCCAGGTTGACACTAAAATATTTGGTGCAATCCACAGTAACCATGATGAAGAGTGAAAGCAGCTTGGAAGTAAACTGATTACATGTCTCTGTAGTGAACAGGAGGTCTAGTGAATGATAAAAGTAGGAAAAATTGGTAAATCAGCAATACTAAGCAAACTTCAACTGCATTTTAAATTCACTAGAGGTATTGGTTAACCAAAGATGATAGTAAAGCAAGAGCATGCTATATGACTTGAGATTTCTTCAAACTCAAGTGTTAGCGATTTGGCGGATTGCTGCTGTAGATTCAAGAATACTACAATAAGTAGCAATAGATAACTCGAATACCTCCGAGACTAAGGTAAGTTCAAATAAGGAAGGAAAAACCTAGTTAGTGAAATGGCTTAAATTGATTCAACTATTGAAATATTGATTTCATTTTCCAAATGACACATTGATAATCTTTTAGAACAGAAGGTTGGAAATTTGAAGACTATGATTTTAAGGGAACTTCAATGAGTTTACATTAGCAGTTTCATGGCACATTACGGATGTAGATAGCAGCTCCTCAATTTAATCAATATGAAGAGTAATGCGACAAAGCTGGAGGTTTTTGACTAATGTCTAATAATAACGGCAATGAAGTACTTGTCAGTACAATAATGCAAACTCGAACTGTCCCATATTCTCAGTTATTCTGTTCGCATCACATTATTAGGTCAGTATGTGACGCGCATTAAGCACAGAGGAAAGCAAATTTATTATTGACTAACTTGTAGTGATTTTGTCTCTATACTTCACACCAAGTACACAGAGTAACAGTGCATTCTTTTCTGCTACATGATAGTAAACCATACTCAGTTGGTGAAATCTAACTTATGTTAATACTCATGAAGCATAAACCAATGATAACAATGGTAGTAATAAAGTTAATGCGGAGGTTGATGGGTACAAACGTCAATCCATGTACTAAGAAATGAAACTTCCATCAGTTACAGTAACGGAGTCAGTGTGTACCAAGGTGACAATAAGTTATTAATCTCTTTCTAAACATAACATAAGCTTCACTCTTCGAATAATGACAGACCCAACAATCCCAAATAGTCATGAAGGATCTTCTCTTTTCAACATCTTAAAAGATTTAAACACGTTAATCTGGTATCCAGTCTATTTTATGACACTGTATGACATAATCTCTATTCACGAAAATTCCTCTCCTATCTATACACAGAACGCATCCCACTACTGACAGCTGAAATGAAGGGCCTCCTACTCCCATGCAACAGAAAATTTAAACAAAAATTCAAGTGTCTTATAAAGAAAATTAAACGGAGTAGCGCGGAGTATTACACCAGCAACAATAATCACTGACATCTCTATGTCCTATATGAAGAGTGCTATGTTGAAATCTGCGATCAACGCAGGTGCGCCTTATCCAAAGCATGTACGTGATATATATATATATATATATATGCTACTACGACGGACCCGACCAAAAGCTGCTACCTTGACGTGGTGGTCGGGTTTGAACACCGCAACGACCCAACAAGCTATACTGGCTGAGACTTATGTCGCTTGAGGTCCTACCATGCCAGAAAGATTGTTTGGATAGCGGTTAAACAAAAAGCAGTTACCCAACCCAATGCTATGACTCAAAGTAAATCACAAAATATCATGCCGGATCGGTCGGGGCCCTGACTAACAACGACCGCGCTTCCTGCTGCCGTGTCACAGGGTAGAAGTGATAAATATGCTACTGAGACACACCAAATGAAGAAGAACAAACAAAAACAGGCCGCGTGTGACCGGCCTCAAGCAGTTGTCCCCTAGGCTCTGCGGTCACGCAACCAACTTCCACGGTGCGGGCAGCCGGGAAGTAACAATCGCCCTCACACTCCAACCAACTACGACGGAAGTTGAACAGTATCCACTAAAGTATCAAATCTACAATGAAGCACAAACTAAGTATCGAAAACACTCCCTTGACTGATACATAAATAATTAAAAAAAACAGAACAGAAAGGAGTATTTATGACTAAGCAATTTCAAGGGAACAATACCCAGAATTGAATAACTTTCATCCCATAGGCTTCAAAAGAGGCCTGGCGGGGATGCAATACCAGACAGCATAAACGCTTCGCTTTAAATAAACATCAGAAAATGGGATTAATCTCGCCAATGCAAGTTTAAGCGGCAAAGAATATCTGAAAATATCCATAGAGACGTACTGAAAGAGTGACAGGAGGAAGTATCACCTAAGATTTAATTTACGGAACTTTCCCAGGTGAATTCTTTCTGCTAAACAGCATGCGTCACTAATAGCAATCTTGGTTTGCAAATTATAACTGCACTATTACCTACGCAAACTCTAGGTCACCAGTTATCCGTGAACTTGTCCGCTTGGATCAGTTATTTAACCTCACCTCTAAATATATAAGCGTTCATTGGAGACTACCTATATTTCGTTATTGGTGTACAAGTCAATGATAATACTACAGAAGGTGATTGCTGAAGATGAAAAACCTCAGTCATGCTAGAGTGTAGAGTAGTAACTGGTGTTGACAACCCTCACTTTACGCTTACATTGACAGGCCGCAGTGGATCAGTCCAAAAAGTCAAGACAGTTCCCAATTTCCGTTTAAAGACGGAGTTCGGTCAGCAGAACAGTTAAATTACCTTAAATAACTGAAAAATGAGACAACATACAAATGATATCATCAGGTGTTGATTTTCGAGTGGTCAACATGTTTGAACACACACATATTCTGGTGTCAGAGCTAAACCTTTAAACATCTCTAGCGGAAATGAAGAGTCTAAGATAATAAGATAAGCCTATATGCTTTTTTCACCCGACAACCAAAAGACTGAGATTGCTGATACATTCGTGTTCATATTTCATAGAACTATGAGTCAGACAGCTGCAATCACAGCAATCACGACTAAAAAATACTAGTCTACATAGGGAGAACATGCCGATTATATAAAAACCTCATAAGAAATAATCTACGAAATGACTGGCGAAAAACAACTGTTTTAAAAGGTACAAAAATCGTTAAACCGATCTTACTCTCCACTGATAGAACACGTCTACATGAGGATAAACAAGTCTAAAACGCTCCTTGGAACACTCGACCGCTATCTGTGAACACGACATCTGCTGTAATAGCCAACGTTTTCACAAACAGCAAAACCGACCACAGTTTTTAAACTTTCTAAAGATCCGCCACTCTTTTGCACTAAGGCCGCATTAATCCGATTGGTAAGAACAAACAAGTCACACAACCTATCAATACAAATCGAATACTTCATGAGCAAGCTGATGAGCTAAAATTTTCATCAAAAGTAGTGTTAACCAAACAATGAGCAAGTTTTCCAGTATTTTGCATCCGAGGTCCAATATCGTTTTCATGAGCTAGCGTAAACAAAACTGATTTCTTTGTGCTCACTTCTTGATTCTAAGATAAAGGTTCCTGATCTTCAGTAAACTTCTGCCTTGTGTTTCATGCCACTTGGCTGACGTAGCTTTGACTGGCTCTAAGGGGAGTGGTGCTGGGATTGGTTATATTGGGTTTCGACTATGCAATGTGCTAAAAACGAGTTACTGCTGTGAGTGAAGCCGATCATTTCACCCTTTAGTCATCCGGTGTGATCGGTAGGAAATATAATAACAACACAACTAACCGTTGTAGATTATGTGGACTTGAAAACCAAAAGAAAAGTGTGCGATCAGATAGATAATGAAATTTGAAATTTATATATACATATGTAATAATAAGTGAGGGAATAGACAGACTAATCAGAAGAGTAAGACAAGGGAAAATGGACAACAATACAAGATTGAGTTTAGGTGTACACCCATTATTAGTGTATGAGTTTAGAGGGGATGGATCCTCCAAACACAGTTCCTGTGTGGCTGCATGACTGTCCAGACTCCACTTAAAGCTCTCCTTGGACGGTATAATAGACACATCTGCTGGCAAAGAGTTCCAACGATGCAAAGTCGAAGTGGAAAGAAATGGAAGAGCACTAGAGTTTCCACTCTCTGGTCCACTACCCCTAGTGGATCACCGTGTGGAAGCCTACATGTACTTAATGACAGAATATCTTTGTTCGAGTGATTCTGGTCATCTGTGATTGCATGGGCAGTAATTATGTCACCCCTAAGTCTACGGTGTCCAAGTGTGAAAAGACAGAATTTCTTCACCCGTTCATTATATAGCCTATTTCGAAAACCCATCACTCCTTTTGTCCCCGTCTTTGGACTTTGTGCAGAAGGTTAGCATCTAATCTGAGTAACGGGGTAGCAGTGATATTGAACACTTGAAGATGTGACCTTACGTATGTCTCGTACAATCTCAGAAACAGCTCAGGGTAAGAGCACCTGTCCATGAATAAAATGTATAACAACATATACCCTTTACCACGTCACCTGCGTAATTCACACTTGTGTCCATTTTTCCGGTCAGAACTAGACCTAAGTCACGCTGTGACAACACTTGGAGTAAGTGAAATTCTGTTGCCCACAGGTGTTAAGCCTCACTACTTCACTTTTTTTCCATCACTGAAGCAAGGAGGAGTCAGTTTAGACAGCACGGCAGGTCTTGATGAAAATCAAAACCATCAGTGGCTCGAGGATAGAATCCTGTTATACTCCTGACGCCAAGCTTTGCCGGGATCATCCGACACGACTGAATTTGGTGCATAACTCCCTTTCGTCTAGATAGTCTTGCAACCATGACTTTAATGAGCCACTTATCTTGAGTAGGAGATAGTTATGCTGCAGTGTCAGATGCCTTTAGGAATTTCAGGTAGATCACATTGGTTCGAATATTCATGTCCCAACGTGAAGTCATTCCTAGCTTAGCGCACGTTTGTCAAAGGATCTATCTCTCCTGAAACTATGTTGTACTTCGTGGAGTATGTCAATGTTCAGGTCAAACTACACTGGACTTAACGCTGTCCCTAGAAGATCTTCAGCAAAAATGTGCAAAACCAACGCGGGAAAAACAGAACACAGTTCGGTGACTCGAGAATCCTTTATTCTTGCACCAATATAGAACCAGCAATAAGGTTATCATGCACAAAGTCTAAGAATAAATGTCATAACAGTTAATCACAATAGTACTTCTGATAGTATTTCTCCGTCATCTAACGAACAGCGTGCGATGGAACGATGACTGCAGTATCGGTGACTCCTGCCAAAATATAGAGTTGGTTTTCAGTAAACAACCATGAATTGATCGTTCATTCTTCAACTACACTGACAGAGTATGTTAGTCCTGTCAATGTACTACCTGATTTGGTCATGAGTTATACTTTCCAGTACTTCGGATACCACTGGGTGTAGTACCACTGGTCTATTACTTGTGGAGATTTGTTCATCCCCACCTTTGAAGACAAGATAAAGAGTGGCTCTCTTCCACTCCTTTGGCAGTTTCACCCTTGAGTAGCGTCGGTTCTAAAGTTCCAGGCATACCTCATGGTCATTCTCACTCTTCGAGAGTCGCCATATAAACTAAGCCTTCCGATTTACTTGCAGAATATGCCACACGCCTAACTTTAGTCATGAAGATCTTTTCTTAGACCGTAGTGTGACTAGATGGTGTCTGAGACTGCCGTGTGAACGTTCCCTTTTACTACTTCCCATGTGTCTTCTAATAATTATTCAGCCAAGTCTGCGGGCCATTCTGCCTCAAGCAAGTTTTCGCATTTTGGTGCAGTCAGCTTTGTTACAGCACAGACAGAATCGCGTAGCACTCGCAAACAAACAGACAAAACATTATGAATACATGGTTAGTGCTACCTAGAGGGGACATGACTAGAATTTTTCGACTGGTAACTGGTCACTAGTTAGGATATAATGCAGTTTTGATGACTTTCCACTAGGGCCTCTACCTAATACCGTCTCCAACGTTCTCAGTCTATCCCGAATTTCTGATAGTGTGAAGCATATTCCAACCGAATTTTCCTTGGGCACACCTCGAGTCAAATTCAAGGGGTGGAGCAGTGGATCCCTCATATATAACGATTTTGTCCTTGCCCGATTCCCATATCCCTGTAATGGTGATGAGCAGTAGTTGGTTGTGTTCTATTCCACTCGAAGGTGATCAGTAGGTGCCACGGCGAATTTGCACCACATAGAGTTTAGGAGTTCAGTAAGCTATGGTTCTGTTTCTCATCCTCAGATGAGCTTCTGGTCAGAGTATGTGTTAACTCCTCCCCGTTTCTTGTTATACCGGAGCCATATCACTTGTACTCATTTCATTTCAGTAATAGTAGGAGTTAGCCTAGCTTGTGTCACGGTCATTATTTTGAAGTGTAGGTGCGATTGGTGGTCTCCTGTAACCCCTCTTCTATCGATATGTGAGCAACTAAGGTGAGTTTCATCACATCGCCGTGTTGTGGGGATGGTTGGCGACATGTCGACTGCTGGTTTAGGAGTTATTATCGGAACCAATTGATTAGTTCTGATGCAGCCGGCCTGCTGTCGTTTTTTCCCCGGGTTCAGTTAAGACACAGGGGAACACTGGTTTTCTGATATCATCAGTCCTTTAGTTACTATTCTATCGGGCAGATATTGTTGCTATTTCCTTTATTGTTAAGTAATGTTAATGTTAAGTAATAATAATATAATAAAATACATATGTATTCCTACGTATGTAGGACACATCAATTGTATAGGCATGGATAAGTATTATTTAAATGACATAAATTTTGTTTATAGTTAAATGGCATGGTTACTGTCATCCTTGACATTAGTTTGTGGGAACAGTGTGATAACTAGTCATCATTAAGTGGAGCACATCAATATATAAATGTTATCTTCGCATTAACAAGAAACACCCAAGCATGTTTTAGATGGATGACAAATACTTGGGAAAAAATAAAGCTTGATGTCATTCCCCCATATAACTTTGCTGTGTATGACATGGAATCTTGTTCTTGATTTACATCCAAGTGGGATATTAATTTAAAATAAGTGATGTAATGGTATAATTTCGTCAGCGTTCTCATCGTGAGTAACACCAGAAGTGAAGTGTACTCACTGCAGACTATTAATAATAATGATAGTTTATATTTTCTTATAAATCGGTGTTCATAAGAAACGCAAGCGATTGTTACAGGCGCGATCAGTTATAAATTGTCATGAATTAAAATCGTGAAGTATTATAAATTAATACTTTTCCATTGGTATAAAGGTATATTGGACAACTGTAATCCAGGATGTGTGGTGGGTGAAGTTATTGGGTAATTCACGAGGCAGTTGTAGGATATGGGACCAGTAATGTTTGCAGATCATTTGTCATTGTAAGTGGTCAAATATCTACATTCATTATTCTCATTCAAAAAGTCATATAGAAGCTAAAATGGTGAGAGAGAGAGAGATAAGAGACGACAAACGACAGCAGCAGCACAGAAGAAAGCGAGTGGAGTCCTCAAGGAGTGATTAATAAATTTGTACATGTATATATTCTGTGTAGTAACTATGATTGTTTTGGTACACTAACTAGCTGACTAACTAGTCCTGTTGTGCTAACTTCTATATTGTGTGTGAACTAATATTAATGTCCTGTGTAGAAATGTTTATCATGTCCTTCCAATAATATTAAGATTTATAATTGTAGTTTGCTGTAACTTATACGTTTAATGAACTTCAAATATGTATGTAGGGTGAAAAAGAGGGTGTCGGAGTGAGACGCAGGAGTGCATTGTCATCTTTGAGCAGTCTGGTGACTGAGGAGATGAACACTGGAAGTGTGTTTGCATCACGCACATCAGCTGGTATGGTATCCTATTCCAAATGACTGAAAACTAATTGAGGAAGAAGAAGTTGTACGGACCGCATGTAAGTCTGACAATGCTCTACAGCAACTAGGTTGTCATGATTTCTAAGATTTTAACTGATGACAGCGGTAGATTTAGTTATTGGCCTGGAGGAGTGTAAGAGAAGACTAATTAGCTTGTAGTAAAAATAAGGTTTAGCTTAAGACGTCAAAGTGGTTCTAATCTTAGTCTGGCCATATGATCTTCAGTATGGAGCCAGCCAGCGAAGTGGCTGGTAAAAGTTGATAAAAGTGTTGAACTTGTTAGAAATCTTTTAGTGACACGCTGTGAAAGTTTCTGACCCATGTAGAAGAAATGACTGAGTTCACATTTGTGTTGAGGATCCGAATCTTTTTGTTTATGCTGAGGCGGAGTGCAGATGTCCGATCAGGTTCCAGGT